GCTGCCTGCAGGGCAGGGCCCAGTTCCCCCTGCCCTGGCTGGGACCTTGGGCTCTGTGTTTAAATTCCTCAAACCTCAACTTCCTCATCTGGGAAATGGGGTCATTATTCCGTACCTTTCTCTCAGCATTACCGTGAGGGTCGGACGGGGCAGCCGCCTCCCAGGGCCCTGTGCACAGTGCAGGCTGAATCGACGTGAGCCGCTGTGCCCCTTCCCCGGAGCATTGCTCTTTTTTAGCCTAAGTTTCCTCATTTAAAAATGGGCTAATGGGAGGAGGGTGTAGCTCAGTGGTAGAGCCTGTGCTTAGCATGCACAAGGTCTTGGGTTCATTCCCTGGTAGTTAAACATTTTTTACTGTTTGAAAAAAAAGAGAAAAACAAAACAAAACAAAACAAAACGGGTTAATAAGTCCCAATGGCCATGGGGACACAGTGTGTTAAGTGTTTGGGACGGGACTTCATGAGGAGCCTCCTGTGTCTCAGGTGCAAGGACACGTGCCCAGGGAGATGCACGCGCTCTTCCAGGTGCATCCGGGCAACAGGACCCCGGCCCGCCGAGAACACTGCAAACGCCAGCACGGTGGCCGTTTCGGCAGCGGGGACACAAGCCAGACCTGGGCTGTGCGCGGCTCCCGCGCGTCCTCTCTGGCCGCTCCCCGAGGGCCAGAGGGACAGTGGGATGGGGTCACGGGGAAGCACCGGGGGACTGGCCCCTCCAGGCCTCAGAAGACATCTTTTTTGAAAGTACATATAAATAAAATTTATTTGTGTATATTGCCTCTGTAGCCAACAGCTCTTTTTAAAACAACACACTCGCGTTTGCTTTCTCTCCCTTTATATACAATTGCTGAACCACTGGGGTGAGTTGCAGACGCCGTGACATCTCACCCCTAAACACTTCAGCGTCTCTAGTCCAGGAAGGGCCTTTCGCCATCCCCATGCCCGGGAAATGCAGCCGGCACGACCTCTCTGGTCCCACACGGCCCCCGTGCACAAGGCCCCAGTTCTCTCTGAAATGCTTTAGAGCCGGCCCCAAGCCTACTGGGGTCCGGGGCCTCCCCGGGGTCTTGAGCTGTGATTAGTCGTCACAGCTCTTTAACCTCCTTTCCTCTTGAACAGAGACCCCTCTTTTTGTCTAACATTGACCATTTCGAAGCATCCGGAGTGACTGTCGACGTGGACTTGCTTTCTTCTTCCCTGTGGCTTGACTCGGGTAAAGCATCACATAGGTGACACTGTGAACCACCTGGAGGAAGCTGAGGCCCAGAGCGACGCCACTGGCACGCCTGGCCCCTGTCTGCTGTCGTGGGGCCTCCAGTGAGTGCTGCCCGCCAGCCCCAAGCCTGGATGGCAGGGCTCCCGCTTGCAGCGGT